TGTGTGTCTGTGTGTGTGTGTGTGTGTGTGTGTGTGTGTGACTCCCACCGGCCAGAGCCCAGGAGCACTGGTACTGGGTGGGGAAGCAGTGACCCTGTGAAGCTGCTGCTCTATGTTCCAGAACTGCCCGGGGAGGCCGGCCGAGGCTCTCTCAGCCTGGCTTCTCCTCCATGATGACAGGTTTGGTCCCGTTCTCCCACCAAGGCTCAGGGACAAGGCACAGGACAAGGGCAGACAGTGTCCAGGCCCAGTTTTTCTCAACCAGCTGCGTCCCCCAGGCCAAAGCTACAGCGAGACTATTCTGTCATCGACACAAGAAACCTGTCCTGGCACAGGCTCCCCATGGGCGGGCTCCCCACGGCAGGCTCACCAGGCTCACCACAGGTGGGCTCACCATGCGGGCTCACTGGGCTTACCATGGCGGGCTCACCACAGGTGGGCTCACCACAGGTGGGCTCACCATGGCAGGCTCACCACGGGCTCCATGCTGAGCACTTGTGAACTCATTCTGCCAGCACCCTGAAGAATCCTGTCGTTCAGGGCTTGGAGAAGCTGCGAACACCTTTCTGGAAGCATCCAGAGAGGGGACAGCACCTTTTCCTGGACTTTACCCCCTCCGGGAGCCTGCAGACGGGCTCCACCAGGGTGGATGCTTCACCTCTACGGCTTGCTTCCTGCTCAAGGAGCCTCGAGCCCACTTCCTCTGGCTTTGTGGGGCCAGACATAGCCCAGGCTGGGAATCCTCACCTCCTGCTTGAGAGTCAGTCTGGACATAATTTCATTGTGGTCGATGAGGGACAGCTCATCCACTTCCTCCTCCGCCTGGGCTGACTCCAGGGCATCTGGTGACTTGGGGGCCCTGGAGAGAGAAGTGCTTCGTGTTGGTCAAATGGGCCCTCAGACCTCCTGAGGCCCCGAGGCTGAGGAGGGGCCAGCCTGGGCGCCAAAGCCAGAACCACGTCCCTGAACAAGTCCACCCTGAATCCAGCTGCCATGTGGGGCTCGAGTGGTGGCAGGAGCCAGGGCCTGGCCTGGGTCCCAGAGACGTTTCCTCCACTCCTTCTGGATGCGTGAGCTATCAGTGGGAGGGTCTGCAGGGAGAGCGCAGTGCCCGTTGAGCGGCTCAGGTGAGCCTGCCAGCTGCTCTTGGCTGGGCCCAGTAACACAGCAGCGCTAAAGGGCAGTGAAGGGCAGGCGGGTGGGGGCAGCCTCTGCCGCTCCTGAGGGCGGGCTCTCCTCCAACCATCTGCTTGGCGCTCACAGCAGCCGCAACTCAGCAGCCGGGGCAGCCCCTGTCCCAAGAGTGGGGTCGGGCAAGACAGTCCTCTCACAGCAGTCCCGGCATGCGGTGAGGGAGCAGAAGTCACAGAGCTTGAGCAGGGGCCCCGGCCTCATCTGAGCCGGGGAGAAAGACAGACACCCCCTGCTGGGGGCCCTCACAGCTCGGTGGTTGGAGCTGGCCAGCGCCAGGGGCAGAGGCTGGGCGGGGCGGGGGTGGATCTGTGGTCACCTGCTTTCCAGCGTTCCTATACTCCCATTGTGTCTCAGTACTTTCATGACAAGCCCTGTGGTCACGGTCATGATGTTAACCCTGAGTACCTGGGAGGAGGACGATGTGCCGGTGGGGTTTCCAGAACCAGGCACTCAGCCTCTGCTCTCTCCTCGGCATGACCACTTCCCAGTGATGCTGGGACAGGGCCAGAAGCTGCCGTGGTCGGCACACATGCCCGGTGGCTCCGAGTGTTAGACTAGAAAACCCCCTTCCTTGCCTAACACCCAGGGAACCCTCTGCCCTCATAGAGAAAGCGCACACCTAACATGGGTGCACCGAAGGGTGGCTGAGAGGCAGGTGGCCCTCTCTGGTAGGCTTCCACAAGTGCCTTGTCATTTCATTTCCTTCTCCTGCTTTTTTTTTTCTTTCAAGAATTATTTAACTTTTTATTTATTTATCTAAATTTGACCAGAGGGATACAGAGAGAGAGAGGGAAAGTGAGAAAGCAAGCTGCCAGGCCTGGGACTCGAACTGTGGTTGGCCATGGGGGAGTCCAGCACCCTCAGCCACCTGCTGGTCCCTCTCTTGCTATTTCTTTCACTGCCTCTGCAACTGCTTACGCCGAGGTCTGCGATGGTGAGTGGGCACTGCCTCACTCTGCCCGCATCACTCAGGCCCTGGCAGCTGTTGAGTTCTCACCTACAGGAGGAACCTTCGGGAAGGGGACACCAGCGTGAAGCTGTGGGTGAGTGCTGTGCAGAGCCTACACTGTGGCACACTGCGCGCGCACCTGGGGACAGACTTCAAAACCGCATTGGGCCTGGCTCACGCTGACAGCAGGAGCTGCTGTGAGACCCGAGTGATGCCACGACCAGACGCAGTGCCTGGCCCTGCCTGGTCCTGGGTGCAGGATCCACAGGTGTCCGGAGAGATGGGGAGACGAGGACCTGGCGTGCCGTCACGTGCTGTGAGGGCCTTTACTGCTCATCTTCTTGGAGCGATACTCAGGATTTTCTGTGACTCAGGAGAGGCATGCTGAAGTGCGTGGGGCCGTGTGTCGTGACGGCCATGGCTTACTCGCCAACGGCTTAGCGGTACAAGTACTCACACCCCAGCACCTCCACAGGCAGTCTGGCATGGCAGCAGGAGGCCGGCACTTCTAACCCCGTCGTCCCTCAACTGGGGAGAGGCCAGGCCACGGAAGGTAGGCCCAGGCCTAGAGAAAGTGCACCAGCACCGCGGCAGGGCCCGGGCCTGGAGAGAGCGCACCAGCACCGCGGCAGGGCCTGGTAAGGACTGTCAAGAGGATGGCAATACACGGAGGGCCCGTGAAGGGGGTCATTCGTGGCTCCCGGTGTCTTAGTTTCTGTCCTTCCCAGTTTGCCCCGCACCCGTATTAGAGAATCAGGAAAAGAGGAAGGAGGCCTCTTGACACGACGCCCTGCAGGCCTGGTGAGCTGGCCGGCGGGCGCAGCCTCACTGAGTGGACGCGCCATCTCGGGGACGGCCCACGCCTGCTTCCTACCTCTCACCACCGTCTCTGCTGTCCTTCCCGGCTGTGCTGCCCAGTGTGGGCTCCCTGGGTTGGCCATCCTTCCCAGCAGGGGACTCCTGAGAAGAGAAGGGGTACTGGGTTTTGGCAGGTGGCCCACGTGGGCTGAGCGTCTTCCCAGATCTGCCCGAAAGCGCTTCAGAGTGCAAGTTGCTCTGCAGCCATCGGGGCGAGCAGGCTAGCGAGGGAGGAGGCTGCCTGCAAACGAGCCCTCGGACTCGCCTTGCCTTTGGAGAGAGCGAACATCCACCAGCTGTCAAGCTGGCCCTTCTGGGAGGAGCCCTGTCACAAGAACCACGCCAGCCTGGAGTGGGTGAGGGTTCCGCACACCTCTCTCTGTGAGTGAGCACGCAGAGACAGGCTGGAAGGCATGGGCTTTACCCAAGACCACACAGCTTACACGGCAAGCCTGGATCTGAACCCAAGGTCGCCTGCCTCTAAAACCTGTGCGCTTAACCACTGGGCCCTGCTGTTGTGTGGCAAGGCTTTGCAGGTCTCCCAGTTACAGATCTTCAAGCCCAGAGTGCCTGGTCACCCTGAAGACTTGACTGCTGGGGTGTAAGTGTGAGGCCGCCCTAGGAAGCGACGACACGGCCCTCCAGTGCCCCGGCTCAGCCTCGGACCGACGGGGGAGGAGAGGTCAACCCTGCGAGTGGCCGCTGGTGGTGAAGAGGCTGGGCTGGGTGATGGTGGGTGGTGGAGCAGGGCCATGGACAGGCCCAGATCCCGCTGCAGGAAGAATCCTTGCCAGTGCCCTAGTGGGGCTTGCCTGTGTGAGCACCTAATGCTCTGGAGGGCCCACTGGGACTCAAGTCCCCATGGACTTCCCTCAGAGAATGTGCCTCCTGCCCAGTGTAGGGGTAAGGTACTGGGCTGTCGGAAAAGTCGTGACGTATTTTTGCATAGAAAAACAAAAAACATGTCACGACTTTTCCTAGGACCCTTTTTTGCATAGAAAAACAGAAAAAACATGTCACGACTTTTCCTAAGACCCGGTATTTCTGAAGCTTGGACTCGCTCATGTTTCTCTGAAGCAAGATCTAGAAAGCTGGTGGCTTGAAAGAACCAGTACTCTTGACCGCCATGAACTGGGAGGGCAACGTGCCGAAGGGACACTGCTGGGAGGGAGGTGTGTGGTCACAGCGCATGTGGCCGCCTGCTGGCCTCCCCAGCCTCCTCGGAAGCAGCTACCACAGGACGATGGAGCATGCCGGGTGCGGGGAAAAGGGGCCTTCAAGCTGGTGGAGGGAGAAGAGCCCTCCTCTGAGGGACGGTGGAGGGCGGAGCTCGATGCTGGAGGACAGGATGGAAGGAAATCCACAGAGAGCCACCGGATAAGTCTGGCCTGCTCAGGCTGCTCCTAGAGATTTCTAGAAGACCCATCCAAGCCACGCTTGGAGGAGTATCAGGTGCAGTGAAGCGGAAGCAAAGGGTAGACCTCTACCTGGGAGTGACCAGGAGGGCTCAGCCAGACAGGAGCAGGCACGAGGGGAGCAGCCTCGGGATGGCATGGCCCACCCTGCCAGGCCAGGCCAGGCCGGCCACATGCAGAGGCTGCCCGAGGTTACTTACTCCTCCCGAGGGGGCCAGCTCCTCAGTGCTCTGGCCAGAGGAGTACAGACTGACATATTCACCCTCACCAGCGTCCTCACTGGCGTGTTCACTCTGGGAGAGACAGGACGAGAGGAGAGATGGCCGGGCCCTCAGCACGCTCGCCGCAGAGGGAAGCCGCTTGTCCAGGAGAGGGGGGACGGCCGCAGTGCACGCTGCCCTCTCCCAGGTCAGAGTAAAGTGGCCCGTGCCACCTCCCCTGCCTCTGTGCTGGAGGGGACCCACGGGCCACCACATCGTCCTGAGCAGCAGCCCCATGAGGACTGTGGGGCTTTCTGGCACGGTGGGGGGGACGGTTATGGCAGGAGAGGAGCAACTCATTAAGTCACCGCAGCACGCGGGGCACTGCACACGCACCTGCCTGCACTCCCCGCCCGCTGCTGTCCAGCCACCTCCCTGCATGAAGGCGAAGGACCTGACGGGGCAGACCAGGCCCTCCAGCCTTGACGCCACATGTGACCAAACAGGTGACTGCCACAGGAGGCCACCACTCCGGCGCCCCGGAGGCGTCTGCACCTTTCCCTAGCCCACCCGCCAAGCAGGAAGGGAGGGAGTCATCTAGCGTCAGCTGTGAGTTCCC